GACTTCCACCAGGTAAGCAGCCAGGTTGGGTGGAACGGCTGTTTTGGACTCGCAATAGGGGTTTAACTTGTAGCCCTTAAAAGACTCCAAAAGTTTTCTCTCTTCCTGTCTCATGAACGGCATGAGCCGCTCTGGCTCCTAGGGGTGTTGTGGAGACAAACATACTGATTGTGGCGTGCTTGGATGCTGTTCATGTTAGGATCTTGAGTGCTGAGGTAGGGTCACAACAGCAGAATGCAGAAGGACAGCTCACAGCAGCGCTTGCCCTCAGCGTAAACACCTTCACGGTCAAATTGACGCAGAGCCAGCGTTGTGCACGGATGAGCACGGCTGAGAAGCACGGGAGTGTTGGTCCTTGCTCTTCTGTAATGTAGGGAGGTTCTCCTCTCCAAAGGACAAAGTATTTTGTAAAGAGAAATTACATGTTCAGGCAAAAAAAGTGCCTGTCAACGGTCAATTGTTTTGTTATAGGCTAATAACACTTTGTTTTTAAGCTGATGGATGATATATGAAAAAGTTTACTGCCAGTTTCCACAGCTTTGTAAAAGCTGAGTTGGTGGAAAAAAGCACATCCGATTCTGTCGTGTTTATCTTCTAAAAGTTCCGTACTTGAGTTTCAAGTATTGTAGGAGAGGGATCCCTGGGGATGAGCACATGAGCCAGATTTTACTGGGACACGGACACCAACATCAGAGGTGGTTTTTGGGTTGGTTTTTTTTTTCCTCCATGCAGAGCACAAGATCTACACCGTCCAGCAGCGCTTCTGGTTCCCGCCCAGCTTCCCTTGGCTACGCCGGGGCTGCTGGACCCCGGCCGATCACCCAGAGCGAGCTGGCCACCGCGCTGGCACTGGCGAGCACCCCAGAGAGCAGCTCCCACACACCCACCCCTGGCACCCAGGTACAACGGCAGCGCAGAAGCTAGGGGGATCCTCCTGGGCCATAAAAGCAGCGCTTGACTGAGCGCAAGCCCTGCTCGGGTCTGAGGGTCCTCGCTGTTTTATTTTCTTATGGCTGGGGTCTCCTCCATACGGGCTTGGGGGGAGGCATGATAGTGGGGGTGCAGCAGGCGTTGCTCTGTGCTGGCTCTGGTTCCCGTGACAAGTGTTCTCCCGATCCATATACAACTTATTTCCTCCTAGGGCCACTCCTCTGGGACCTCCCCGATGTCATCCAGTGTCCAGTCGGGAACGCCCATCACCAACGACCTCTTCAGCCAGGCCTTGCAGCATGCCCTGCAGGCCTCGGGGCAGCCCAGCCTGCAGGTCAGTGTTGCAGCCTCTTCCTTCGGGAGCCCCTGAAAGCCCCGTAATCGCATTGAGTGTTGCAGGGTGGAGGCGGTTCCTCTAGCCGCCTCCTGTGGCAGGACGTTAAGCCGAAAGGGGCATCGCTGGAGAAGCGGTGCTTGCAGGAGGCATGATAGACTGATGCAAAAGTACTGGGCGGAAGCGGGAGGGGTGGGCTGCTGGATTTGGGGAGTTTGCAGCAAGACTTTGAGCTTTCAAGATCTGTTTGCGCACTTAGCATTGTACTTGTGAGCTAGAGAGAGGGGGGAAATCCAACGTGGAAGAGTGAGCTGTGGAGAAGGCTGTTTCATTTCTGCTTGGACTCTCGCACCTACCCTTAGCTTCTTTTGTTTCCTGTCTGTAGAGCCAGTGGCAACCACAGCTTCAGCAGCTGCGAGACATGGGCATACACGATGATGAGCTAAGTCTCCGGGCCCTGCAGGCCACTGGAGGGGACATTCAGGCTGCCCTGGAGCTCATCTTTGCTGGTGGGGCTCCCTAGGTTTTTGGGCAGGAGAGGCTGGACTGGTGAGTCGCACTGAGGCAGCCGTGACATTCCTCGGTCTGGGACTCGGCCCTGAAACTCTTCTCTGCACTGGGGTTCCTCTCTCCAGCATGGAGCAGTTGGGGTGGCTGCTCCTTTCCTTGCAGGTGGGCAGTGTGCTCCTGTTTGGGAGCGCTGACCGTGTTGAGGGCAGCTCCTCCAGCTCCAGCTACTTCTCTCCAGCCTCCTTCTTCTGGCCACCAGAGACGAGACCTCAGAACTTTGTCCAGCACGGAGAAGGAGGTGGCTCTGTGTGTGGGAGAGATGTTGCACCTACGGTTCTGCAGTCTTAGGTCTGTCAACGCATTCTCCTGCCTGTTGTTTCATTCCTGCCCACCCGACCTGCCTCCGTCTATCCTGTTTTGCTTTTGTGGTCCCTCTGTGTTTGACTGTATTAAATGGACTGTATTCACTTGCCTGTTGTTTGGGTTGTGATCTGTCCCGGCTTGTGTTCCAGATCTGCGAGGCCATGTGCTCATTGCAGGAAGGAAACTGGAGAAAATGCTGTGCCTGTTGTAGGACTGTTGTTATTTCAGCAGAGGGCACTCCTCTTACAGAGCAAAGCTGTATCTGTTAGGAGAGCAGTGTTTGGGGTGTAGCTGACCTGCGTAGCCATCCTGCCCTGAGTTAGGCCAATACAAGAGAACTCTTTGTGCTACAGATATTCTCCAAGGAGGTGCTGCAGAGAAGCATCGTGTCTCCTTCTTAGCAGAAACCTGTTTGTTCTCCGTTCTGTTGGGTGAGGCTGGTAGAGTCCTGCAAGCTGACAAGAACAAGGGTACAGGTGCAGGAGTTCATGGCCACCACAAGGTGACAGTGGAAAAAAGTGACGAGCGCGAGGGTTGAGGCAGTTGCCAGGAAGTGTGAGGTGCTGCCAAATGACTTGGGAGAAATGACTGTGTCTCTGACACAGGTTAGTCTGGCTGCAGCCAGCGCTTTCCAAAGTGTCTTCTAATCCTGGGTGCCACGTTCGAGGTGCCTAAGACCTGAGCTGCAAAGGCAATCAAAGGCATTTGCCTGTAATTACAGTCAATGGGAGCTGAGAGAAGCCAGAACCAGAGCGGGGCTTGGCTTCGCTCTGATTGTACCATTGAGATTAACAAGGCATGAAAATGGGAGCTGGTTTGCCTGAAACGCCACCGTGCGTTAGTAGGGAAGCTAAAAGCAGAAAATGCTTTCCTACCTTCAGACTGCCTGTGCTCCCCTCTAATTCCTCTCCAAGCGCTAGGGTCGCGCTGATACAATCTCAGCTATCGCCCAGCAAGTGCTGGATTGCTCTCTCCAGGGTAGCCCATCGACTGATAGGCTTTAATCCTGTCTAGAGGATTAACTCTCTCAGGAGGGAGGGACTGTTTTTATTTTTCAGTACGTAGGAGACAAGATGTGACGGACGTAACCGGCTTTCCTGACTTGGTACACCCTTCCGGGTTGCTGCCCTCATTACCTGCTTTGGAAACCCAGTCCAGATGATGGCTGTGGTTTTATGTGTATGAAAACGGATTAATTTGTTCCCGTCCCTGGTGCCTTCACTCTTTGCTTTGCTGGGGGAGTGGATAGCATACGCACAGCATCCTCCCTCCCTTCCCCGCTGTGGAGGCAAGCCCTGCTGTCAGCCCTCAATCCTCTCGGGCTAACTGAGGATTAGCTGTATCGCAGATGTTGCTGCCCAAAGCTGGAAAGCATTTGCAGGCTCTCACAGACCTGCTCAGGGCTAGCAGGACTTGCTTTGGGACCAGGGCGACTAGTTTGCTTTGCTGTACCATGTCAATTCTCAGCTTAGCCCAGCCTGGGGTTCTTGGTGTCCCAAAACGGTATTTCTTTTCTGTCCTGACCTTGCTCTTATGATTTGATCACTTTGTTGACCCACATTTTGTATTGAGTAGTTTCTTCTGTTATAATGGCTATTTCTGCTTCTCCCTGTGTCCCCAGACAATTGAGAATTGCCTGGATGTTTCGTATGGAAAGAACTCTTTTCCAATTTCTTTCAGAAATTGTCTCACTTGGCTTGAAGTACCCCATCAGACACATTCTCTCTCTGAACTGGCTACGGCAGAGAAGAACTTGGCACCGATGTTGTTCACGACGCGACTGGTGCGTGTGCTTTGCTTCCCCCATCTCGCCTGCCTTTGGCTGCCTAGAATAGACGTGCTCAGCAACCAGGCAAATTTAGAGATGCAGGGATGGGAAGAGAGGCTCTGCCTGGCACCTGCAGGGCTGGTGATGGAGGAGGAGGAGGAGGAGGAAGGGAAACTTTGCTGCGGGAGCTCTTGTAGGAGAGCGGAAGCTCGGAGTTCCTCAGAACTGGCTCTGCAGCAGCCAGGTGAGCGCTGCCTTCCCGCCTGCTCTAACGGCCGAGTGCCTCCCAGCTTTGGGATGAAAGGGATACTGGCAGCCACCTCTGCGTGCAGAGAAAGCTCAGCCAGCGCAGCCTCTGCCTAGGGGGAGAAACCGGCTGGGGGGAGGCTGCAGGAGGCGCACACTTGTTTGGAGAGGCCCTTTGCCTGGGATTAGCAGCCTGAATGTGGCTTATGGGGATGTAGCATGAGGTCTTTTGTCCAAGCCAGTTGTCCTGACTTCTACAGTCATTGGAGGAGCCTATATCCCAAGAGAGATACCGAACAAAACTGGAATGACGCTGGGAGACGAGGGTATCCATTGCTTGCTGAGAAAGCAGCTAAGTCCGCGACAGATTCTGCTCTTTGGGAGCAAATTGCAATGCACTACCTCCCTCCTGCCTGCTCCCTGTGGTCCACCCTAGGTGCCACTGCCCTGACACCCTCCCCTCCTCCTCGCTACTTCCATGCTAGGGTTAGAGGTGCACCCGTTCTTGTTGGGTCTCGGCTTATCTGTATTGGGCCTGCGTGCCCGGCCTCCGCCACGCTTTGTTCGCCAGCCAAGCATCTGTGGCCTGACCGCCTCACCGGCACTGCTGCAGGAGCAGACTGGGAGGTGCTTGGCTGACCCTTTGGAAGAGGTGGAGGTCAGGCCACGGTTCCCCGACGTAAGCGCTTTCAGTAGGGACTTTCTGGTTCTGACATCAAAGAGAAATTTTTGGTTCAGTTCCTTTGCCTGTAGTGGAGCTGACAAGGGAAGTAGTAACAGCGGGTGTTTGCAGTAGTAATGGTAGCAGCTGTTTGTACTCCTGTGTTTTCAGTGATCTTGTTGTTTGTTCTGGTGCTTGACCGCCGATACTGGCGCATTGTGGATGCCTGCAGGGCGAGGCAGTTTGGCTGGGACCTAGGCTCTTCGCCACGTGTGCTCTGCTTTTCTACTTTGGCCGCCCTGATGGCTTTTTCACTCTTTCCGCCTTGTCTCTTTCTGCCTAAGGCAGTCCTGAGCTGACTGTCTCCGTGAGGAGCAAAGCGGTGTTGTGGGGGAGTAATCTTCCAGCAAAAGGGTGAAATGGAGACAGAGCAGAATCTCCCAGGCTTCACGTCCCTGATGGCTTTTGGCTCAGCCTGTGTGACTGCCCACCTGTGTCTTCCTCTGCTTTCACAATGCTGCTGGAGGCTTCCCATGTGTGAAGTGAACGCAACCGGCGAGATCTATCCCAGCAGCAGACGTTGATGTTTGAGGTATTAATTGTTTATGTGCAGGCGCAGTCCCTCTGGTGTGGGCACGCTTGGGTGGTTTGTTGGATCAGATCGTAAACCGCCAAAGTTTCAACCTCTTCAGCCTTGATTTCTGACTTCAAATGACTAGCGTGGGAGAGATTTCCCCTGATCCTCCCGCACGTCTCCAGTATTTCAGAACAAATGTTTCTTCCCTGCTCCCCCAGCCAAACAGAGGCTCTGAGTGTCCCCTGCTTGCGGGACGCTGGCACAGGAACCAATTCCTCATCTGGGCAAGGCAGCAGAGCACCTTAAACCGGTGTTGCTGTTTTGCCCAGCTCTGTCCACAAACAAATGTGGAGGAGCCAGAGGACTAACCGTCGCAATGCCCCTCCTGCTCATCACTGATGTCCATACTGAGCTGGGGGAACATCGTTCTCTTCTCCCCAGCACAGTGCGGGGCTACACGCCTTGGCCCCCCAGCTGCTCTCTGGCACATCAGTTCAGAAGATTGGTGAAGGTGACTTTCTCCAGTGCTCCAGGATGCAGCGTCTCCCTCGGGATTTGCTAGGGCAGGAGTAAGCTGGGTGTCGGTCTCTTTTCCCGAGTAAACAGTGATAGGACGAGAGGAAATGGCCTCAAGTTGTGCCAGGGGAGGTTTAGATTGGACATGAGGAAAAATGTCTTTACTGAAAGAGTGGTTGAACATTGGAAGAGGCTGCCCAGGGACGTGGTGGAGTCCCCATCCCTGGGGGTATTTAAAAGACGTGTAGATGAGGCGCTTAGGGACATGGTTTAGTGGGCATGGTGGTGTTGGGTTGATGGTTGGACTCGATGATCTTAGAGGTCCTTTCCAACCTCAATGATTCTATGATTCTAAGCTTGGGCAGCTCGGCAGGATACATCCATGTCGTGAGCAGCAGCAGGGAACTTGTCTGGCAGAGCCCTTGCCCATCGGCTTGCCTTCTTTGCAAAGGACTCGGTGGTTTCCTGGCTGCTTTCAGCTTTGTCCTTGTGGGGAATGCCAAAGTGTCGGGAAACACATAATCATTTTTAGTTTTGTGCTGATTCAGTGAGCTGAACGGTCTCACCGTGGGGGACAGGCTGGTGGCAGGGCAAAGGGAAGAGGGAGCAGCGGGACCTGGTGGGGTTTCCCTGGCAATAACGAAATCTTGGTCTTACTCTTTAACAGGCAAACTTTTGAGGAAGGAGGAAAGAGTTTTACTGATGCTGGGACAACTGATCGGGAGTAAGGTGAGAGCCCAAGGAACAGGGCAGCTGATACAGTGCAGCTTCCCAGCAGCCTGTGTCCTGTGGGACTCGGTCCCTTTCCTAGCGTGAATCAACATTTTTCTTTAGAAGTGACAAAAGGGGAGCTCTGTGACTTTAGTCATCAAAGCATCCTTTTAAGGAGCTGTGCTTTGCGCAGCTGAGAGTCCATGTGATGCTAAATGGAGAACAGCACAATAAAACAGTGCGGTTTTAAGGTAACTGACTCTATTTTAACCTGGTGAAAGCAGAAAGGTACTGAAAATGTCACACCATGAAAATATTTCTATTTCCTAATATTTTCTTCTATATTTATAGTTTTCTAATATTTATAAATTACAGTGTTTATGAATAATCCTTTGATGTACAGTAGTGTGTGATGTACAGTTCTAGTTCTGCCTTACGAGGATGCTTGAGTTTAGGAGTATGGTAAGCAAAAGGAAAGTTCAGAGGGAAGAAGATAAACATCCCCTGATACATCCTTTGAAGTCAAGACAATGGCTGAGCCACTGGCTTTAAACGTGAAGTTTCCTGCCTCTAGTCCTCTTGAACTGAGCTCGGAAACTTTAAACAAAACAAAAAAAACCCCCAACGCTCTTAAGGTGAGACCAGGGATTTTGGGGAGCATTTCTGACCACACAGTCTCTCTAGCTGACTCCTGGGTGTTCCAGGCTGCCAGCACGCAGAATGGTTGTCCCAAAATCACTTTGAGACTTTTTTTTGTCCCTGCCACTGAAATAAATACCTTGCTGATTTACGAGCGTGGTCCACTTGTTCAGCAGGGCGCATTAGTTTAGGTGTTGAGTTTGAGGGAGAAGCTGGAGAGCTGTGGAGTTCCGCTCCAGGGGCGGTAAAAGCATCAAATGGGTTACGCAAGATGAGAGCCAGAGTCCCCCCGTCTTCCTGCAGTGGCCAATAACAGATGCTGCAGAAAAACTGTAAGAACAAGAGAAAGAGCCATCTCTAATAGATTTTTCCAGCATCCAGTGATCTGAGGCTTAGGGGCTTTTAGAGCTAGAAATGGGGTGTTAATAGTTAACTTTTTTCTTTGAACACAGATAAACTTGCAGCCTCCGTGCCACCCCGCAGCAAGGAGTCCTGCAGTTTAGCCACACGTTCAAAGTCTGTGACCCGCGAGAGTGTTCCGCAGCTGGAAGGAGGAGATGAGGTGCAGCCGGGGACTGTGGCACAGGTAACTTCGGGGATGTCACGCTCTAAAGGGGCGGCGGTGGTCCCAGTAAAGCTCTGAGGTTTAATTTTTGGGTGCCTGGGACTGCTGTGGCCACTAAAGCAGCAACAGGTGACAAGGACAGCTAGGGGAGTCGGGCAGTCAGGTAGAAGATTGTGACTTAATCTCGCTGAAGCAGAAAGGGTTGCTAATGACGGCAGAGCTCTCTAATCCCCCAGCAACGCTCGGCGTGCTGCCCTGACATCCCACAGACAGACTCTAAACTGTTTACCTTTGTGTAATTGGATTGTTTGTGTACGGCCCTGTTCCAGGGAAGGGAAGGACTGCCGACCGTCCTCTCTCCGGAGGATTCCATTCCGAGGTGTAGCTCCCTGCCATTAAATGCTTTGATCCCAAAGGATCCTCAGTTATGCACAATTTAATCATCCCGTGGATCCTGCCAGCTGGTGTCTGGTCACGCAAGTTCATGTCCATTTATTCTTCCTCCACCTCATTTTTTATTCTTCTTTTCCTCCTCTCCCAAAAGCCCATGACCTGGTTGCTTATGGCTTCCTGCGATCGCTTTCCCGAATGAGCCGTGTGGGAGCTATCCGGACACATAATAACCAGGAAGCAGGTGACAGGCATGAAGCCTGTACAAGAAAGGGCAGATGAGAGGCAGGAAGAAAGAGGAGCTCTTCTTCCCTGCCCAGGCCAGTGTCCCTTTCAAGAGTTCTGACAGGTCATAGGGAAAAAGAAGTCAAACGGGTCCAGCACATGGTGAGATCCTGAGCTGTTCCCACTCTCCTGCTGGAAGAGATGGCGGGCTTCCCACGTCTGATGGAAAGAGAAACCAGTGCATCTGTGGTGCCGAGCCTTTGTGTCACCAGGCAGGCTCTGAATTTAGAGCCAAGGACAGTGCTGAACTGCAGACACTTATCTTCTGCATCATTTGGCCCAGGGTTGGCTAGCAGGGGCCAAAATAGGAAGGAGGAGCAGGAGGTAGACCACTTTTTAGATGTCTCTCCCTTCCTGGCGAGACAGATATCACTGCTGGAAGTACTTGAACACCGCAAGGTCAACTTAATATCTTTAAAATAGTTTACTTTCCTGAGCAGCCTCCACTTAATCTTATGTGCCTGGCCAGCTTGTAAGAGATTCTGTTGGCATTTTTCCCAGCAGCAGTTTGAAGTGGTTTCTTGGGGACCAGGTGACTTGCTTTGATTCCCCAGAGAAAAATGTGGACTTAAATTCCAACCCGTATTATCGCAGGGGATGGGGGAGTAGATTGTGGAGAGTGAACCTTAACTTGTGTGTTACCAGGAGGAATTTGTGTGTTTAATGAGGCTGATAAAGGGGGCGTATAAGCTTGTGTATGGGATGATGGGTGCTGGACCCTTCTTAGGCCTGTTCAGAGCAGCTGGCAGATGTGGGAATCGGTACTGCTGAGGAGGCTGCTTTGCACACTGCTGAAACTTAGCCATTCCTGCAGGAGAGCGTGGTAGCTGCTCTGCAGCACGTGGTGATGCTGCCCTGAAATCCAGGCCCTGCCAGGAAGCCGAGGAGCACAGCGGTCAAGAAAAGAAACACCAGGAGTTTCAGGTAAGCAAAACACAGTCTGGCCTGCTGGGCCCTCGTAGGAAGACAGAGCTGACACGCTGTGCAGCATTAATATATCAACGTGCAGCTCTCGTAGCGGGAGCGTGGCAGATCAATCTCAACAAAGCAACTTGTTTCTGTCCTTTTTGTTTTAACTTTCTCTTAATTGGGAAGGACTCTGCACTGGGTTTTATTTACTCTGCCTAAAGCCTTTGGCACCCCTGTCTGAGGGGTGCTTGTGCTTTTGGCAGTCTGTGTCGCTGATGTGCATCTGTTTTACCTCCTTTCCTGCTCTGTTGGTGAGTTGTCACTGAATCACTATTGACAGTGCTGCTTGTTAATGTGATGAGCATTCAGGTGAGATGCATTTGCCAACCAAATGCGTGTTTGCAATGGAAAGGGTGAGGTGTGGTTTGGGGTCATCTAGGTGAGCTGAGTTTGTTTGTGGCTAGTCCTAGGGCGGGACCTCTGCAAGCTATTGGGATCAGTGAATAGCGTCATGAAACTCTGGTCTGGGAGGCCCTGCCTGGGGTGAGGTCCAGGGGTTTCCTCAGCAGCAGAGGGGAAAGCAGGGAAGAAGAGGAGTCCCAGCTAGGGGTTTTGTGCTGCTCCCCAAGGAGCTGAGTGCGAGGCGGCTCTAGCACAGGTTTCCTTTGGCAAGTCAAAGGGGTCGATCTACTAGAAAAAGATGTCCTGGGGCACACGGTTCCTTCTCCCCTTCCCTGATTCATTTTTAAAGCCCTGGGAGTGGCATTTAGCACGTGGGGGCTTCTGACCCCTTTAGTGACACTTCTTGGGGCAGTAGATTCACTGTGCTGTCCTTCAGCATCATGGCAGAACTGAGAGGGGGAGGTATACCGACTGATCGGCCCCTCCAGACTCAGTCCAGCTTAAACAGCTGATGGAGATGTGCTTGCATAAAACCAGCATGCCTGGAGAGGCTGAAGGGTTGACAGCCATTGCAGGGCTGTGGCTTTAGGAGGGGACGGTTGAGGTTGCGGTAGCTGTCTGCGAGGAATGTGAGTTGGAGGGGAGGATTTGTGTGTTGAAAGCAGAATGCAGCAGCTTGCTGATAAATGATCTGCTATGCTTCCTTCCCACCTCACTTTGTCATCTGAAAGACCTGTTGGTCAGTGCCAAAAGAAACTGAGTGGAATCTCACTTTTTTCCTCTCAAAGTCCATGCCTATAAGTCTGCTTGCTCCCAAAGGCAAAACGCAAGGGGTAAGAAATGGAAGATCTGGTCTTGCAAAGCTCTATAACGGTCATTTATACTTGTGTCCCAGCCTCACGGGACGTCAGTCCATCCTGCCGCAGGGTCCCGGCACAGGCAGGGTTTATCAGGAGATTTCCCCTGCTCTGTGTCAAAACATGCAGTCTCCCAATCCCGTCTTGGGAGGGACTGTGGAAACTCAGGCACACCTGTGGCGTGACGGACCTGGTGAACGTCCTCAGCCCTTTGCGCCACGTTCAGAAAGGTCCCTCTTTGTAGTGTTCTGAAGCTGCCATGGTTGATAACAGCCAGAGATCGAGATGTGCTTGTCAGGTTTCTGGAAGAGATGGCACAACAGAGAAAAGATCTTGCCTGGCTTTCGCAGGGATAAGCATGTTTGCAGTGTTGATGGTGGTTTGTTTTTTTTTCCATGGAAGATTTGTCTGTGTTCAAACCCATCACGCCTACTGCCTGTTTCCCAGGGTCACCTTCCTGGCCTGGGGTTAGCAGAAGGCAATTGATATGTTGTTGTGAATAATGTTCTAACATACCTGCTCTTCTCTAATGAAAAGGTGCCAACAAAACCGGGAGGTTTCATAATACTTAGACTGCCTGGGCCACAAACATCCAAGCAGCCTGTTTCCTCTGCATTGATGAATAAAACTGTTCCTCTTAAGGAAAATCTGTGCTTTATGATTTTTACAAGGTACTTAGGGGAAGCTGCCTTCTGATCCACGTTGGAACTGAGTAGCATGATCTGGAAAAAACCGCACATAATTTGCACTGTAGAAGTTTTGACACTTGAGTGAAGCAGACGGAAACCTCTGCAGGAGGGGGCTGAGCAGGGAGTTTGTGCCTGGAACCCGATCTCTTGTGTATGCATTCCTTGTGGAGGACATGGCATGGGGCTGAACAGGCCGTGAGCAAACAAACTTTTGCAGAAGTGCTTCCCCGCTTTGAGATGGGTGCGTGTGTACTTAATGCACGGGGGGGTTTCTGGCTGTATTCAGGGCACTGTTCTGTGTTCAGCACCCCCTGCAAACTGGTACAGGGTTGGAGCGACCTTGAAACCAGCTCTGCGCTCCTCCGAAGCGTACAAGGTGGGCTGCTCCTTGATCAAACGTGTGCAGCATTGCACGTCTCTGTGGGACAGCCCTGCCCGGGGGAATTCATGGTGGGGTTATTTTCCCAATGCGTTGCACAGTGTGTGCCATGCCACTCCCTTGACCCTCCACGTCTTGCCTGTGTGTTGGAAGTCACTTTCCCAATGTTGTCCTGTGCAATGATCTGATGTTTCTGCGTCTGTGGGAGTCAGGCTCACCCCGGCTGATCAGTCACGTTGCTGCCCTGAAGGAGCTTGTGGGGAGGAAAAAGGACGCTAAGGGGAGCTGTAGCTTCTGGAGGGAGCAAAGGCATTTGGGTGAAAGCTCAGTTTTAATGAAGACCATTCATTTGAAGAGTTGTAACCAGCACTTTGGGTGGGATGCTCCTGTATACTTGCGTGTTCCACCACTGTCTCTTTTTTTCTCCTCTGCTGCGGGCTCCTTTCCTGGTGAGCTGCGTGCAGAGATCTCACACAGCTTTGTATTTGACTGATACACACCAAGCTGTCTGCCGAGTCTCTTGCTTAGCAAAAGCAAAAGGTGCTACAGCATCGTTCTGAATCCAGGACCACAATACAGTCATGTTCATGGGGTGGCTCAGCTCCTGGTCTAGGAGATGGAGTGGTATCATGCGTTGAAGCAGAAAGAGCCCAGAGCTGAACACTTCCAAGGTCTTGGGGGAGTTTGAAGCTGAATTTTATACACAGGAGCATTGTATTTAGCTGTAGGTGGAAAAACCCCTAAAAGCTAACCATGCAGAGTCCCCGGCTGCCTTAGTTACAGGCAAGGAAAAGGGAAAAGCAAAGGATTTACTGTTCTAATAAGGCAGAAACTCTCCTTGTTCGTCTCTGATCAGAACCCTTCTGTGTTTCCAGTTGGCAACTTTGTCAAGAGTGGGAGTTGAAAGCCAGTTTCCCAGCCCGCCAGCTGCGTCGTGTCATAAAAGGCAAAGCAGATAATAACGTATGCAACTCTCATAGCGTAGCCCAAATTTGGGGTGGATGCAAAATGCTAAGTCCCCATGTTTATTAAGGAACCAGCATGGGTTGTATGGCTTAGGCTGTTGATTTACAAACGACGTTTCTTTTTCACTCCCGACTGTGAGAAAGAGCCTTAATGAATTAAATGTTTTTCAGCAAGCCTTCTCTGCAAGAAAACAAGTGATAACAGGGTTTAGTACCTCTGGGAGCAATGGGGCAGGCAGAGAAATACACGCCTCGGGGCTCTCATAGCGTAGCCCAAATTTGGGGTGGATGCAAAATGCTAAGTCCCCATGTTTATTAAGGAACCAGCATGGGTTGTATGGCTTAGGCTGTTGATTTACAAACGACGTTTCTTTTTCACTCCCGACTGTGAGAAAGAGCCTTAATGAATTAAATGTTTTTCAGCAAGCCTTCTCTGCAAGAAAACAAGTGATAACAGGGTTTAGTACCTCTGGGAGCAATGGGGCAGGCAGAGAAATACAGCCGCCTCGGGGGGGGGAAATGGGCAGTTGTTTCGAGGTGAGCAGCAACTCAAACTGGTTCAAGGCTGGGAATCACCATGTCCAAAAGTGAAAAACCGGAGATGATCTGTATGTTATCATACTGTAATTACCCAAGCAGATATTTGGTTAAAGAGAAAGCTGAAACCCCATGCTTAGAGTTGGTGGGAAATTCCTGTGGGCCCTTAAAATTCACCATTAGTTGGCTCATTAATTTTTTGCTTCCTCCAAAATGCCCCCCTCGCCCTGCCACTGTTCGTCTCCTTCAGGAGCGGAGCGGTCCTGGGTCTAGCTTCAATACCAACTTTAAAGAGCACAGCTGCGTCTCTCATCCTGGTGAGTTCCCCGTGGGGCTCTCCTATTCTGGTCACGTCCGACCTCGCTTTCCTTGCGTGTAATGCCCTGCTCTTCTCATTAACAAACCTCACAGCACTTCACAAAGACCGTCAGCCCTTCCTGGCGTCCCGGTGGGGAATGGGGAGGACGGGGAGGTGTGGCAAAGCAAAGTGACTTTCCAAAGGTTGTGCCACAGCCCTGCGGCAGGCCAGCCCCTGAGAGGGCGTGCTCAGCATACCGTCCTTTCGGAGAACATTAGCAACACGAAAGTTGGGGCAGGATTTTAGGGAAGGGAGTATTTCTTCATCCCAGCTCCCAGTAGATTCTTCCACATGCTCTCTGGGATGTCATCCACTCCCACACTCACACCTGCACACTCACAAGCACCGTGGTGCGAGTTCGGCTGGTCTGGCGAGGGGGTGTGTGATGCAGGGTAAGAGACACAGCTGAGTCATCATCGGGTCTCTGGTGCTTGTCTCGTAGTCTTCCTGACTTGTGACGACAAATGAATTTTTGGGCAGTGTTTTGTCTTGCTAGGAACGGCCCTTTGCTATTATCTAATTGTAGCACTAGCAGGAAGAGGGCTGTCACATGAGATATGCTGCAGCCTTGCTGCATTGTCCTGATGGTAGAGCGGGCTCTTCTATTAGCGAGCTGTTCCTCCTGCCTCGACATCCGAGCATGGCTTTCTGGCCTTGACTCATCCCTCTATTTAAGCAGCTGGGAGCGGCAATCCTTTGTTATCGGTCTCTGCACCCTTGGTCTGCTGTTGCTTCTTGTGCCTTCTTACCCACTGTCCTGGTTTCGGCTGGGATAGAGTTAATTTTCCTCCTAGTAGCTGGTGCAGTGCTGGGTTTTGGATTTCGTATGAGAATAATGCTGATAACACACCGATGTTTAAGCAGCGCTCATGCTAGTCAAGGACTTTTCAGCTTCTCCTGCCCTGCCAGCGAGAAGCTGGGAGGGGGCACAGCCAGGACAGCTGACCCAAACTGGCCAAATTTTTTTTGTTGGCCGGGGGGCGGTGACCGCTGCTCGGGAGCTGGCTGGGCATCGGTCAGCGGGTGGTCAGCAATTGCATCGTGCATCACTTATTTTGTATATTCTATTATTATTTTTTTTTTCCCCTTCCTTTTCTGCCCTATTAAACTGTCTTTATCTCAACCCACAAATTTTACTTTTTTTTTTTCTTCCCGATTCTCTCCCCCATCCCGCTGCAGGGGCGGGGAGTGAGCGAACGGCTGTGCGGGGTTTAGCTACCTGCCGGGTGAAACCACACCACACACACACACGTTTTCATTCTTATTGCGTTCGTACTGACCTTAAGATTCCTCTTACAAGCCTCTGTGATAAGTTGATTGCAAGGCTTGGGCCAGCTGCAGCTTTTCTCAAGAGCCTGAGGGTGAACAAAGCCGTCGGACTCCCACCTTCCCCTTACAGAAGGAGGGGAAAAAAAAGGCAGAAGGGCCAAAACCCCCAGCAAAGCCTGCAGGTACCAACTGCTGAAGATCCGGTGCGAAATGAAAAGAGCCGCTTTGGATTTTTTTTTTTTTTTAATGAGGGTTGCTTCCTAGCAAGTTAAACGTAGTCCCGCCCTCTGTTTCAGTCATTGGCTATGCTGGATGCTGCCCACTCTTTTGTATAAGGCAAGCGATGCAGCTGTCAGCCTCACAAGCTCAGGATCTCTGCTCGCTGAATATGGGCAGGAGGTCACCCCTTGCCCTCTTCGTGGCCCTGTGGGCCAGCCAGCTGGGCGTGTGGGCAGCGGGGCGCTCCAAGGTGAACCCCCGGATCATCACAGCTCCGCAAGGTAAGCCCCGGGCTGCGGTCGGCTGCAACCTTGAGACGCGGCAGCAGCAGTGTCTGCAGCTGACAGCTACTCCCTGCGCCGTGTATTCTCTACCTGTGTCTTGTCTTTTGAGAAGAGTTGGTCTTTTTTATTTCTTTTGTCTCTTCAGGGAGACTTTTGGCTTTCGTTAAAATGAGCTAAAATGCCTGTGATCTCACAAGGGGCTTCTGGCTTCCTTGGTTGCTTTTAATTGAATTTTTAGATCCCTCTTCTTGCCAAGTCCTTTCCTTTATACATTCTAAACACATTTTCCTACAAGCTGGGTATATTAAAGGCTGTCGAAAATGCCCTGAAACAGACGCAGTAACCATTTCCCCTAACTTGCAGGGAGAAATGGAGAAGTGTATTTGCACAATACAGTTAATTTTCTTGTTTGTCTGATGTACTTACCCTGTTAGCTGCAAATGAGTTCTGTGAGTAAATATTTGCAGAAGATCTCTATTCTCTGAGAAAATATATATGTCTGAAATGGCACGCAAGGACTTATAATCAGATCCGATCTTAGCAGAAACCGAACAAAGAAATGTTTTCAAGGAGCAGGCTTAGAGCACAGCCCAAGCTTCGTGTGTTAAAAAGAGCAGACTAACGTTTACTGTTTTTATCATGTGTCTTCCAAGCTTTTTGACTAATACCCTCCAGGGAGGCTTTAACAAAAGACACCGGCTTGTCCCCGGCGGTTCTGGTGTTTGGCTAAGCCGGCGGGTTCAGCTGAGCTGCGGATCTCACGCTGCTCTGCAGTACAACAGCTCCTCTGTCTTTCCTATTCGCCGACAACTTCAGAGGACACGAATTTCCCGTGGTTTATTCTGCGCCATCTGTTATTCTTCTGCCGTTATTTATTATGGCCTTCTTCTTCAGGCCCATCGCTGCCTGCGGATGAAGGGCCAGGAGCAGAGGGGAGGGCGGTGGGTGCCTGGCTCGGAGGTGGCCTCTGCCCGTCGCACAAAAGGGAGGGACACCGGCAGGGAGGGCAGCGAAAGGTTGCTCCTAGTATTGCGTCATTTGTTTTATTCACCTGGGAAATGAAGCGGCTCAGAAAACGGGACGCAAGAGGGGGAGAAGGCATGGAGCCCGAGACTGAACAGAGGATGGGGGTCACGTATTTCTCCATAGACGTTTCCCCTGTGCCGCCTAGGGGAGGTGGGGGGGGGAAGTTGAATTACAGGGGTCTGGTGTGCTTGGAAATGCCTGTCCTGGAGTAAAACTGTGCCGAGGGGGAAGAGCAAACCTGGGGGGTTGATTTCCACCCGTCTCCGTGGGCTGTGCTTGGCATGCGCATGCAGTATGGTCATTTGGCCTTTCCCTGCATCCGTGTCAGACGGTGGCTTTCCCGGCATTGTACGCAGCAAGGATCTGTCACCAAGGAACACCGAAACCAATTAGTGTTAGGACACTTCCCTGCAAGGGAATCAGCTTATGCTTAGCTCTGTTTCTCTCCTTTCTTTTGAGCGAGAGCTTAGCTGGGACATAGGCCGAGAGGGATTTCAGTTAGGGAGGTATCAGAGGTAGCTGTGTGGCACACTCATTAAGAGTCACTCACGTGTCCTATTTAACAGATTGCATTTTACTTGGCGTAACCTCTACCTTTTAGGAAGTGGGTCTGTGGGTGGGGAGGAGGGTGGAGAGGAGGCTTTGGGGGAGGGTGAAGAAATGGGACGGGGGCAAAGGGGACGCGGTGGGTGGCAGGGAGCCCTCTTTAACTTCCCCAGTGCTCCAGGCGCAGTGAAAGGCAAGGGCAGCATCTTTAGTAAAACCTGCAGGTCGAAGCAAGTGCTTCAGCCTTGCAGACTGTGTTCTTGCTTATCTTCCCTTTTATTTCTATACAAAACACTGCTGCTGTTTTGTATCCACGTATAGAAGCTTGTCCCTTGCCGTGGGGGTGACGGTGTTGCAGGGCTCGGTTTGCGGCTCGAGCCCTGGTCCTGGAGGCTGGGAGCGGGGATGGAGAAGAGCAGCAGTGCGGGACATTTGCATGGGTGTTCGTGCCGGGGCTGGGCCTGGTGTGCTGCATTTGCCGTGGTGCAGTGCTGGCCTCAGCCCTGGGCTCTGCAGGAGCTGGCAGCTCTTCACGTAATTAAATTTCTTACATGCCACAGCCCATCACTAGCACCAGGTATGGCAGCCTCAGCAAAGACACCTAGAGACGTTACAGCCCTGCGGGCGAAGGGAAATACTCCTGGTGCTGGCCGGAGCCCAGCTCTCTCCAGGAGGGAAGAGTACGTGTGTGGGACCCCTCCCTGGGCTGCGGCGCTGGGGGAGAGGAGGAAATTGGTGCTGAGCAAAGCTGCAGCTGCCCTTTCATCTCTCAGCCTTGCTCTCCTCGCCAGCACCCCACCAGAGCCGGGGAGAGAGCCCTGGCCTTGCTGCAGGCAGCCTGAACTACTCTGCTGTTTCGCCCCACGGTCCCTTGTTGTCCAGTTTCGTAGCAAGAAATAGGTGAGGGGACATTGCGAGCTGGGAAAAAAGGGTAGCTGGGCTTAGGTGGCACGATCCTGAGCTCAGATCTGAAGACAAAGAAACCAAGTTGACCTGTCTCGGTGCTTGGAGCTGCCTGGGTTTAAGTAATTTCACAAGTCCTGGGGACTTGGACTCGTGGCGGTGGGTGGCTGGAGCACCACGCTCTGCAGATCTGCCTTTCTGTGGATGCAGTGCATATAAAGCCAGCCCCGAGGCCTCGGCTGCAGCTGCTGATCTGCCTTTATTTTGCCTCCCTGATGCCACAGCGCAGTGCAGGAGCGGGTAAGGAAGGGGCACGCTTTTCCCCAACATCAGCCCCGTTTCAGCGCGTGCTTGGGAGCATTTGCCACCGAAGGCAGGTGAGGGATCCCTGGAGCCCTCCCAGCAGCCGGCACAGGTGGCCGGCTCTCGGGTCTGGCTGGGTACACAGTTGTTTGAAAGCACGTCTGACTCTGCAGGATTTCTTCCTCTGAGGGGAAGGACACTCGGAGCAAAGGGCTGAGGTCAGCTCCAGACCACTGGCTGTATCTAAAGTGCTTAAGATCCTGTTTACTGACAAGGACTTTGCCCCGCTTCCCCCTTTGCAGCTGACCCACACACAGATGGGTCAGGGTCTCTTCTGGCTGTTACCCTCCCCAGTGGGTAACTAACTGCCTCCTAACAAAGGCAGATTGTAAATGGCAAGTTCCTTATCGGTTGAGATTTGCAGAGTGGGAGTGAGTTCAGCCTTAGCAGCCTGGGCTGGCGCAGAAGCAAGTGCTTCAACCTTGCAGACTGTGTTCTTGCTTATCTTCCCTTTTATTTCTGTCCTCCCCCTGCCTCCACGTATTTTTCTAACTAAACGCTGACCAGCTGGGCTTTGCTTTGAAAAAGGTGCGTCCACATCCCACACTGAGCTTTTGCTTGTCAGTGCAGATATCGTGTTTACTCTTCTGATCTATCCGCAGAGACGGAGGCCGCTGTGTCCCAGGGCTGGGCAGAGCTGTCCGGGTGACAGAGCGGGCAGATACAGCCCCTCTGTACGGAGCAGGAGGGTGGCATCCCAGGCTGGCTGGCTCATGACCGGAAAGTCACTGAGCATCGGGAGAGCGGAGGAGTGCAGTGAGGACAACAAGGAGCCTGAGGGCTGGGTCAGGCTCCTATAGCCTGGGGCCTTTGGTGCAGAACAGGAATAATTTTTAGCTACTGCCGTGCTTAAGATTGTCTTGTCCCTGTTTACTCGCACGTGCGTAGATCCGAGACAAACTCACAGCCCCTCTCTGGTTGCCTGCTGCATTTACACCTTGGGGTAGGATGGGGTCTGACAGTCTAATTATTTCCTCTTTCTCATTAACAGATGAGGCTGGAAGCTGGAGGGGACAGGTTCTGAGCTGGTGTGTAGCCCACAGAAGATAAGCAGGTCCCGCAGGGGAAAAGAAAGATTATATACTTGACCCTTGGCTGCCTCGACTGGGTAAACTGGCTCTAGCCTGCCCTGGGTCACGGGGTGGGAGTCGAAATGGCAGTTCCTGGAAATTGCCCACGCTGTCAATAGTAGCTCCTGGGCTTTGCCAAGCTCAGCTGCCTCTCCTTGCCATGGGAAAACTGTGCCGGCAAGCACCTCTGAGTGCTGTAAGAGCTCTTCTAGGAGCTCTTCGTGCCCACCGGTGCAACGGTGCTGTGTTCAGCTAGCAAGGGAAGAGGAGAGCTGACCAGAGATGAGGCCAAACTCGTACCGATTGGGAGTGGCGGCAAAATGAGAGACTGTGGTGCTAGCACCAGCTTTTACTCCTCGGTGACAGCGGCACTGTTTTCTCAGGAGCCACGGTCCCCATGGCTGTGAAGCATCTCTGTAGGACAGTTTCACATGAAGCTCTCAGAGCATCAACATTTCCAGGAGAAAGCTTCTCACTTTCCCAGCAACGCTATTTTCTGCAGACGGTTCATTTTCACAGGGTAGGTGATGCTGGTATCATAAAATGTTGGTTGAAAAGATTTTTTGCTCTGCGCAGATTGAAAAAGAAAAACAAACCAAACAAACCAAGCGAGTGAATCACAACCACCTCCTGTTGCAAGAGCATGACACAAAAACAACAGGCATGGGTGAACTAATAGAAGTTGTGGCTGCTGCACTGAAATGCTCAGGGCTGGGAAAGAGAGCCAGATGCAAATTGCTGACCCGCTGCCCAGCTCTGTGCCAGCCCTCGGGCTGATTCAGGGTCAGAATTGCAGAAAATTGGCCTGGGAAGGTTTTCCGGAGTTGATGTAGTCCGTCTCTGTGCCTTAAAGCAGGACAAACTAAATCTAAGCCTGAGTACTCGAGTGCAAACTAAATCTAAGTAGTGAGTACAAGATGCTTTTTAAAGAAGCTTGTATCCAGAAAAAGGGCTGGAAGGTGAGTTGGAAGGAGGAAATTGCTTGTTTTGCAGCCATCTCTCTCCTGTTGAGCTACATCCTATGGTGTGCGGCTATTCCTGGTTGCTCCAAGAATAGGACTTCTTCCTCCTGTTGGGCACTCTTTTCTT